CACGACGCTTTTACCAGGCAACTTTAAGGCTTCCAGTTGTCTGCTCTCTAAGAAATTTGTGTTTCGGTGTGTCTTTTGGACGAAACACTGGGCGCTGATTTCTCTGGTCTGATTCTAAGTTCTCTTTGAACTCTTGTTCTTGGTTGAAGTCCCAAAAGTGCGTGAATCTTGGTCTGCCTTGACGCGTTTCAACACTGGGCGCTCATCTCTGCCGTCCGTGGCTGCAAAACTCCAACTCAATCGTCTGGGGTCTCGCTATTTATTGATGCACATCAAAACTGGAATTATGGGTCTGTAATCGCCAAATTTCTTGATTAATTCTAAAAAATGCTTAACCCTTATATCAGGCTGATTAAAAATTTTCCATTTTCGGGCAAACGACTGGCCTACCTTCCATAATTGGGAGGGGGAATGAATTGTATAATTCTATCTCAAACTGGTATATCTGTCAAAACGCAACTGCTGTCGGTTAACGTATGTTTATTGACGCAGCCTAAACTGGGGTGGGTCTGTCAGCGTCCTTTTCCTTCTTTGGTAATTCTAAATCGTATCCACCCTTCTTCATTTCTGGTTAGGGATTTTCATTTTCGGTAACTTCCCTTTCTTCCCACTTCCTAAAATAAATCTGGGGCGGTCCGCTTCCCCCGCTCCTTCGTATCGGAACTTTAGCATATGACCCCTCATCTCCTTCCTGCGTCATCTGACCGCCTTCGGCCAATGAGGTCCTGGTCGGTATCTTTCCTCCTCCTTCGTGTCATCTGATCTTATTTAATTTAATGACGTCTTTAGTCGGGATGGACAATCCGTGGCTTTGTTCTGGGGAAAGAAACACCTTGCTTAAAAAACAAAAATTTAAAATTGCCCTTTTCGTACGTAAAACCGAAATGACGCTCTTGGTTTTTTTTACACGTGGTATTTGTCAAACAGTTTATCGCTAATTGGATATGGATCTAAGAAAGGGATTTCTCAGACTGGGTGGCGTTTTCGTGAACAATAAAAATATTTCACTTTTTCTTTCGCGGCCAAAGGCCCGATAATAAAAATTTTCATTATCTCAAAAAAAACATTTTCAGCCAACATCATTCTTGTGTGGCTTTTTTCTTCAATTCTGGAATGGTCTGTGTTTTTTCGTATTAATGGTTTGCCTTCATATCCTTAGATAAACTTCCCACCTGTTACCTATCATATTTTTTTTCCATTGTTAAATCAATAAATTGTTTTTTTTTCTTCAACCAAATTGATAACAAACTTCCATTTTTCGTGGACACGGAAGTAGGTCAGGTGCTTGACCTGATACCTTCCAACATCTGTTATGTATCAATCGAGTGTGTGTGTGTTCGCTTAAGACCTGGTTTTTATATTTTTTTTTTCTTTTTTCTTCTTTATTCTTTTCTTTCTCCCAGATCGCTTGAACGCAATTAAAGAATTATTCTCAAAACCCAAATATTTTTTCAGCTCTAAATAATTATCAAATGGTTGACAAACCGTAAAAAACAAATCATATATTTATGAATATTTCTTTTCAGCCTGCCAACTTATGCATGGTGCCACAGACTATGGACTCCCTGAGAAGTTTGATTAGTGTTTTTAGATTCTCGTGAGAATGACAACGGCCCCTGATTTTAAAGTCAACATACTTGCAAAATTTATTGCAGATGTCAAAAAAATGTTTTTTCTACAGGGGATCTGCATGATTTGTTAACACTGTTCACTTGGATATATGTATTCTGTTGTTCAAAGAGCTCGGTGTCTTTCTTTCATCTGCACTGAAGAATAAAACATACATGTACACTAAGAAACATTTTAACTGAGTGTCTTTTTTGATAATTTACTCTCATGTCTACCCTTTGACTATCAACGATCCCCAGAACAGGGGAAGAATAATCCGTCTGGCAAAATGCCAAGACACGATGAATTAAAGATGGCAATTGAAACTTATTCATTAGGTTCCCTTTTGGACTTACTTTTATTCTTTCTCCTTTTTCATATTTATCATTATCGCGTTTTATTTTTTGTTTTCTGCCCTTTACAGATTGCGCAGAATGTCATGATCATCAGCTACGGAACGATGCCATTCAAATGAAGAGGATATTAGACAATTTAAAGAAGACTGGTCTGAAACATTTGGCATGATTACGAAATGCCTTATGCATTTTTAAGAAAATAAATTAAAGAGGCATTTTGAAAGTGAAATTTGAAATTATATATATATAAAGTGAATAACATTAGCACAAGTGATTAATTCTATTTATTTATCAAATTCCTGTCGTCATTCAGTGTTGATTCTACAAAAACTGTTCCATTTTTGGTAATACACTCTTTCTCTGATATTGAAGACTTTTTCATCACATAAATATAGAATATCTTTTATATTTTTTATCATTCATATATATATATATATATATATATATATATATATATATATATATATATTTAAAAATATGGTTCCTTCCAACAAAAATTAATATTTCAAAAAACAGAAACTAACAACTTGTCTCAATGATTGGAATTCTCTATATCCTTGGGAAAAAAATTATATATGCTTTTAAAAACTCAGTAAATTTCAAAATAAGTTATTCCAAAATTCGCTTGAAAATGAAACAGAACTAATGTTTTTAATTTAATTAAATGATTGAATTTGAAGTTTTTTAGCTTTTTTTTGAAACATGGTAATTTTGTGTAGCGAAAAAACTATATTTTAAATCAGTTAATTTATAATATTTATGCTCTGTAAATTTACATTGAGCAATGTTTTTAAAAAATAAAAAATATCAATAAGAACACCGGATTATATATCTTACTGTTCTTTCTTTTTTTTCTACTAATATATATATATATATATATATATATATATATATATATATATATATAGAGAGAATTTTAGAGAGAGATATATTCTGATAGATAGACAGACAAACCTAGTGAGCCAGACAAACCTACCTAAATTTCACCTAAACAGATCGTCAGGGAAAGCTAAAATTGATTTGATTATTGGCAAATCAAAATTTCAAAGGTTTTTGAAACGATCTTCTATATATATATATATATATATATATATATATATATATATATATATAAATAAAAAAGCTTAAAACACTAATATTCCATGGTTATAATTTATTTCATTGAATCGTTCTTTGTGATCCAATTCATCAGACGTACAAATATGATTCTAGCGTGGCAATCATCACGTTCTTGCATCCAGGTCAGAAGGTCATCCTGATGGTATTCTATATCGTAACACAGCTGGTCCATGTAGGTCGTTGCTAGGGAGCCATCCGTCTGGCTCCGTGGCTAGTTGTCCAGAACAGTAGAACACTCGCAAGTTTTTCTTTTGCACACCAGCATTGTCCTGCAAAGTGCATTCTGTATTCGCGTAAGATTGTAAAAATATCAGGAATGAGTCCATAAATCTTTGATTTAATTGGATATTGTCTCCAGGATATGTTAAGTATAGCTCTAAGCATCCGAGTGTACGTTCCATCAAACTTAGATTCTTGGGCAGACGTAAGCAACCCCTGGCACGCATGTCAAATATAGTACACCAATAAGTTGTTTCTGGCACGTAAAACTTATTCATTAGGTTCCTTTTTGGACGTATCTTTATTCTTTCATTGTCTCATGTATTTTTATTTTCAGCCCTTTACAAATTGTGCATAATGTCACAATCATCATCTAAGAAATGGTGCCATTCAAATGATGAGGATATTAGAAAATTTAAAGAAGTCTGAACTGAAACATTTGGCATGATTAAGAAAGACAATAAAGCTTTAAACATTTTCTGTTCTGAAACTATCATTTGTAGGACATCTTCTGTAAGAAGACATTTTGAAAATGTTCATAGAAACTTAACCTATAAACGTGAGGAGGAACAAATAGAATTAATTCCTCTTGAACTGAGCAAGACAAAAAAACAGGCTGATACTTTTATGAATTTTATTTCAGGTAGACCCAGTTCCAACTTAGTTGCTGCTAGATTCGAGATTTCAAAAAAAAATTGTTCGCACTTTTGTGTCAGAGATTTGGCCGGTTTTTGGCATGCACTCTCAAAAAAGTTGCCCACTCTTGCCCTAAAATACCTCACCGACCCCTCTGGAGTTGTTCAGACATTGCACAGGGTATAGCTCGTGTCACGACAAAGTGACCCTCAGAATAAACTGGGAAATAGGCAGGATTGATTCATTAATCAATCCTGTTGCATCCTGTCCGAAAACACAAACCCAATTGAGAGATAAACTGTAGTTTTTCAACCCGAGAGCAGATACTATACTTGATCTCAACTCGATCGTTAGGGAATGAAAAAAAAGCAATACTAGTGTCGCGTTGTCTTTTCGGTTAATACCGAATGTTTCCTTATAAGGAAACGGATAATATTACCATTATCTTTTGCCCATAAATGGAGAAAACAAATGAAATCTTGAAAATGTGATCAGATTGATTTGTTTTTTTATTTTTTATTTTTTTTACCGCTTACCAACTTTTGCAGGTTATTTAAAACCGGAAAATACATTTAGATTTTGAGATAATAATAATAATAATAATAATAATAATAATTTACTGAGACAAGTCCTACTATTTAATCCATAACCGGGGGAGAGAGACGCGGTGGATACCTGAAGCTGTTCAATACGTTGCCAATAGCTATATCCAACTGTCAAAGAAAGAGTATAAACAATGTCATGACAAAGTAACCTTCAAACTAACCTGGGAACTATTCAAGATTGATCCATTGATTAATTTGGCTTTTTACGTCTTATTAACCTTTTGTAGGTCATTGAAAACCAGGAAATGTATTTAGATTGTAAGAATTTCTTTGGGATAATAATAAGTTACTGATATAAGTCATACTAATTAACCCATATCTGGGGGAAAGGTGAATTCATACATTTCCCAAGAGTATTTGAGCGTAAGTGAATATAATGAACCCAACTGGAATTAGAACTCGGCTCTCTGATGTCCAATTCCGAGCAGTTATCCATTACACTAGCCGCACACCCAAGCATACAACACCTGATATTCCCAAGCGGTCACCCATCTAGGTACTGACCAAGTTCGATATTGCTTAACTTCGGTGATACTAGGAGAGTCGGTGTCTCAACTCGATATGGCCGTAAACCATACGACACGCACATCCGAGCATACAGAACCTGATATTCTTAAGCGGTCACGCATCTAGGTACTAACGAGGCTCGACGTTGCTTAACTTCGGTGATACGACGTGAACCGGTGTCTCAACGTAATATGGCCGTAAGTCTGAGGGTCTATGCAGGAAGCTTGGCACCGTGGTGCGTGCATTCATCCTCGTCAATAGCTAAGAAGGAATAAAATGAAATTCATTTTTCTAACGATCAAATGAAAATAACAAGTGCTTGAATAATAATCGCCCTGAGATCACACTTGTGCAGAAGAGCAACCCTAAATGTAATCTGGTTTTTTCGTGCTAGATGCCTTTTTTAAGAACACAATGAAGGTTTTTAGCAATGACAAAAAAAACCAGAGACCTGGTTGAAGAAAAATCGGAGAAATATGTCGTCATTATTGTGGATAGTGCCCTTTAGGCTATTTCCAGTAAAATTTCTGCCTAGCAAGTTGCCTTTGAGGTAGATGGTATAATTGGGATGGCACAAGGATCAGCCCTTCTTGGAACACCTAATGTGCTGGGGAAAGTGTTGCTTGCATAAACTGCACGTAGCCGCTTAAGGTTGGTCAGGAGTAAAACAGATTTGCATTTTCTTTAAAGTAATCTACTCGCGCCGCTTATGATTGACCAGGAGTGAAACGGATTTGCATGTTCTTTAAAGTAGTTTATCAAAATACGACTGATTAAGAGGAAACGGATTTGATGTTCTTTTGAGGTTTCTATTTCAACTGGCGCCGCTTTTCTTTTGGCCAGGAGTGAAATAGATTTGCATGTTCTTTTACGTGATCTACAAAACTCGCGCCGCTTACGATTGATCAGGATAAACTACACCCGGCAGCAAGTTTTCAAGTTTTGTCATATTTTTCTAAATACGGTTTGTTGATATATAAAGTTATACAAAATTATTATCATAAATAATGAATATAAATGAACATATAATATCGCACATTATTGAGTTCTGGTGGTCATAAAATAGTGCTCGATGCAATATAACAGAGCTATAAACAATATACTAATAAATATACAATTAGTTATTCCAAAATTCGCTTGAGAATGAAATGGAACTAATGTCTTTAATATAATTACAACATTAAATTCGAAGCTTTTAGCTTCCATTTTTGAAACATGGTTAGAACTGTGTAGCGAAAGACATATTTTAAATCAGTTAATTTATAATATTGATGCTCTGTAAATTTACATTGAGCACTATTTTTGTAAAATAAAAATATCTATAAGAACACCGGATTATATATCTTACTGTTCTTTCTTTATATATATATATATATATATATATATATATATATATATATATATATATATATATATATATATATATATATATATATTTTATAAGTCAGAAAGCATCTGCACTCTTATATAAAGATATGTTATGTAAAAGCGTTTTTTACTTACCTTCGTATATACAGATAATAACTCTATCAGTCGTGTAATTATGATTTTAGCCAGAGGAACATCTGTTTATTCAGGGAAATATATTGTGGCTATTTTTGACGAAGGAAACATTTCTCTATTATTGCTTTCACCTGCAATTTGCAACATACGTTTATGTAACAATTTTATTATAATTTTCATTCCAATCAATGAATATTTATATCTTCAGATCAAGTTTTGATATAATGTATATTATAACGGAGATTATCGTTAACTCAGTTTGTTCATATCTATCTATCTATCTATCTATCTATCTATCTATCTATCTAATCTCTCTCTCTCTCTCTATATATATATATATATATATATATGTGTGTATATATATATTGCAATCTTTATATCTAGAAAGGTTTTATCTATCTATCTATCTATCTATCTATACATATATATATATATATATATATATATATATATATCTCTTTCTTTTTCTCTCTTTTTATCTCTCTCACTATATATATTGCAATTTTTATATCTAAAACAGTTTCATCTATCTATCTATCTATCTATCTATCTATATCTATCTATCTAATCCCACTAAATTTCTCTCTCTCTCTCTATATATACATAATGCAATTTAATTTATATCTAAAAGTTTTATCTATTCATCTATCTATCTATCTATCTATCTATCTATCTATCTATCTATCTATCTATCTATCTACTCTCTCTCTTTCTCTTTCTCTTTATCTCTCTCTCACTATATATATTGCAATTTTTATATCTAAAACAGTTTCATCTATCTATTCTCTCTCTCTCTCACTCTCTCTCTATATATACATATTGCAATCTTTATATCTAAAACAGTTTTATCTATCTATCTATCTATCTATCTATCTATCTATCTATCTATCTATCTCTCTTTATCTCTCTCTCTATACATATATATTGAAATCTTTATATCGAAAACAGTTTCATCTATCTAATCTCTCTCTTTCTCTCTCTCTATATACATATTGCAATCTTTATATCTAAAACAGTTTTATCTATCTATCTATTTCTTTCTACTTATCTATCTATCTGTCTATCCTCTCTATTTCTCCCCCTCTCTCTCTCTCTCTCTCTATATATATATATATATATATATATATTGCAATCTTTATAACTAAAATAGTTTCATCTATCCATCTATCTATCTGTCTATGTTTTTATAGATATAATTTATTTAAATAAATTCTGTTTTTAATTAACAGTAATTTAGACCGATAAAATTAATTAATACTGTTTAATTAAAAAAACAGAGTATTTTCTTAAATAAATCATATCTATAAAAATAATATGAACAGATATATATATATATATATATATATATATATATATATATATATATATATAAAAAGAAGAGAAGAGGGTGGCTGTTCAAAACGTTTTTTTTTGTTGTAATGTGGATTTATTTAGAAAAAATATTATGCTTTGTTTTACATAATTTTACGACACGTGTTTCTGGTCTCGCGACCGTCTTCAGGTAAAAGCGGAGATTTCACATATTATTAAAAATAATTGATTTTTTTCTTAATTCAATGAAAAATAATTCGGATTACCAACACACAAACAGAGAATGTCTCATATCGAGAATATTTAACATTGAACATAAGGAAAAAATTAATTATTTTATAATAAAAATATAACAACAAAGATTTTATCACAATTCTTCCGAATAATGAAATAAAATTTCTTAAATATGTTTTAAAATTTAGACAGATACTGAAGGATCGGATATATATGGCAACAAAGATGAGGACAATATGCCAAATAATGTAAATATATATATATAATACTTCATCTTTGTAATATAGACAGATAAAAGAAGGGTGATAAATATATATATAAATATGATATAAATTATATATATATATAATGTAAATATCTGTGTTTTAAATCATGAGGCACGGTGGAATTATATATCTATATTTATTCGGATTGAGGACATCGGATATATTTCGAATTAAATTTCGTATCCATTACATGCTAATATTTTTTATGAAAAGTGTGAATTTTAAAAAAAGTTCTCCCCCAAATCCAGCAAGATGGGTAAATAGCAGGATAAACTGGGTATCCTTGGCGTTGGATGGCAAACCGAAGGTAACTCTGAATTCAAAAACTTTTCGACAAGCCTTTCTGATCTATTCCAATTTCCAGCCCTTTTAAAAAAAAATAAAAAACAACCCCCCAAAAAAACAGCATGAATTCTTTGAAACTTTCAAATTTTCTTACGTACTTTTCCCTTTTTTATTATCCTCACTGGATTCATTTCTGTTGGTCATTTCACGATCGAAAATCGTACGGGAAATTTTTTTTTTTTTCCTATATTTATGATGTAAAAATTTTTCTGATAGGTTTTTCTTTATATTTTATTTCCTGAACATATCTGAATAGCTAAATCCATTTTGTCTTTTCGACATAATTGTAAACATTTGTAATTTTCGTAAATATATCTTATTTTCTTTTATTAAATTATCATTTTTATTATAAAATATTTATTTTCTTATATCTATTTATATTTCTTTCTACAGTGTATTGCACTTGGTTTCCAAACAGTTTTCTTTCTCATTCATTTTCTTAATCACCTATCCGTCCCGGACTGGGTGAGACTTTCTTTCTGATTTAAATGAACATTTTCTGCTTTTTGAGAATAATGTTTATTTGTTTGTGAAATTTTTTCAATCATTCTTTATCTTTCCTTTAATAAAATAATATCATTTTTTTTTTCTATTTATTCTCTTTTCTCTTTTTTCCTCTCCATTTCACAGCCGGACTGGTTTTTTTTTTCGATACGTTTTTGGAATGGTTATAAATATTAATATTCTTTCTTTTTTGTTTCAAATAACAAATTTTTTTTTGTTCAATTGTCTGATTTTTTTTCAGGCAATTTTTCCTAATTATTTAAATCTCTTTTTTCTAATATCTTTTCTTTTAATTTATCTCGAAAAAATATTAAAACATATTTGGAAAAATCAATTTCTTTCAACACTTCTTTGATTTTTTATAAATGAACCCTATTTTTGGTTTTACAGCGATTGATTTCTTGGTCTGTTTTCCACAGTTTATAAGTTTAAATTTAATATTTTAGTTGTGTTCAATTTGAAATTTTGCTTTCATTTTTTCTTTATTTTGCATTATATTTGGCCTTTTTAACTCTTTGGTGCAGCTGGGGATTCTTTTTAACTTTTTCTATGGTTTTTCCTTCAAACCTTTTTTTTCATGCAAATTTTCTTTAATCTATCTTTTTGTCTTATAATTTTTAATTTATGTAAAAAAAAAATGTTTTTTCTCTATTTATTTCATGTTTCTTGTTTCTTTTATTTTTCTGTTTTCTCGTTATTTGAGATCCTTTCTCGTTATCATTTTTGTTCTTTCTTTCTTTCTTTGGATTTCTTTTTAATTTGTAGATTCAAAAAATTCTTTCCTTTTTTTTTTTCCATCTTTCTTTCTTTCTTTTCCCCGTTATGTGGCTTTCATTTCCATTTTTCAACATTCTTTTTTTTTTTTTCTTTTTTTTTTTCATTTTCTTTTTTTCTTTTTCCCTTTTTCTTTCTTTCTTCTTTTCTTTCTTTCTTTCTTTTTTTTTGAATTTTTCTTTTTTCATTTTATATATTTTTTCTTTCTTTCTTCCTTCTTTTTACGGTTTTCTTTCTTTCTTTTTTTCTTTTTTTTCTTTTTTT